GGAGCAAGAAATTACTTAACTAGTTTTGGGCTTGAACTCGGTCCGCCAGCTGTCGAGGGCATGTCCTTCTTCGGGACCTCTAGGTGACCAAGCCCGAAAAATTCCTCCAGTGCGTCCATGTCCATGCTGTCGAAAAGCGTGTTGGGGACATCATCTAGACCCTACGCTCCCTCACTTGAATTTTCTTTGCCTGCTTGGGCCTCTTCGAGCATGGACTCAGCATAAAAAGGCGTCTCCACAATGTCAATGACACCGGTCACCTCCTTTGGAACAAGAGCGGCTTCCTGGGAGGCCGCAACCTCCATCTTCCCCTCAGGTTCTCGAGTTAGAGGGGGATATGCCTCATGGTCCTCTTTCTCGATCTTCGTCTACTCCCTTTCATAAAGGGTCAACCCATGAGCGACGAAGAGGTCATCTTCTTCGGACTCGTCCATGAGTCGGTAGAAAGAGTCAGGTTTCGGTACCCTGGACTTGGTGCTCTTCTTGGGCTTCCGGGCCTAGGTGGCCGCTTTCTTTTTCCTCTTTACCTCGGGGTCCAAGGAACCCAAGGACTTTCACTTTCTCTTATTCTCTTCCTTCGCGAAAGCCCCGAGCTGTCCCGAAATAGAGGGCTCATCAGGAAAGAACGGATCCTCATCCTCACCCAACGACCTAATTTCGGTGGTCTTAGGTAGACCTATAAGAAAAGAGAAAAGGTCAGCACTATCTAATTTGAGAGCGTAGTGATAGCTATTCAGGGAATAACCTCACCATGAGAACGATCCTCCCATTTTCCCTTTGAAAGTTTGCGCCATGAGCGCTTGGAGTACAACATCTACTTAAAGATCCCCTCGANAAAGAAAGAAATACCCAAGAAAGACAATACTTACGGGATGTGTTCCACTCTTCGGGGAATGGTAGAAATTCAGGGGGAATCGGGTCTTCGGTTTATGACCAAAAGAACCTTCCCTGCCAGCCTCGGTCTCGGTCCTCGCGATGCTCGAGAAAGGAGCCTTTCTTCCTTGACCAATGAGATTGATCAGTCCCCTCTCGAATGATTTGGGGACTGTACAGGTGGAGTAGGTGATCGAGGGTGAACCGAGGAGCTTCGGTGTTATTCACAAAATGGCGTAAGAAGATCGAGGGTGGATTTTCCCAAGGCATACTTTGTACTTTTTGCATAAATCAAGGACTATGGGGTCCACCAGGGCGAGCGTGAAGGGGTAAGTGTGAACACTCAAATACCCCTTCACGTGAGTAGTAATATCATCATTGGGCCCGGGAATGACCACGTCCTTACCCTTCTATTTATAGTCTGCTCGAACTACAGGTAAGGTTTCTTTTATGATGAAGCATATATATATCCATGCTCCCTCACCTTGGTCTTGTTGGCTAGATGCCTTCTTGACCTTGAAGTCGTTCCCGATAAAGCAACACCCGTGTATGAAGCTCTTCATGGGGGGCTCTTGAGCTACCTCGGGAACATCCACCTTGGCATTTGCGAGCGGGTGGGAAGATGAAGGGGCAGCCTGCTTGTCACGACCCAATCCGATGGGCCGCGATGGGACCCCATTGCTTTACCTAACCGAGCACCAACGTAATGTATTTTTCTTATCATACCAACATGGGTAAATGGGCCAGAAGTGATGTCATGAGATAACTAGAATAAAACATAAGGGAATACTAGATAGTACGACCCAACATGATATAGAAACTTATACATGTGACATACGGGCCTATAAGGCCGACATGATTATTTGTATACTCAAAAACATAGGCCGACAAGGCCATACAAGAATCCATAAACATGAAATCTGTCTACAAGCCTCTAAGAGTACATAAATATCATAAAGGCTGGGACAGGGTCTCGCCATACTAATTAATACATGTCCAAATCATACTGACCAAATAAGCAACTTCAGAGCAAGTGGAGTTCACCAACACCTTCCGCTGAGCTTATAGCCTACTAGGAGGACTCTCAACCTGTCTATCGGGACCTGCGAGCATGAAACACAGTATCCCCAGGCAAAAGGAACGTCAGTACAAATAAAGTACCGAGTATGCAAGGCATGAAAGCAGTATATAAAAGACATGCAAGAAACATGGAGTACCGAACTCAACCTGTAAGTCTGAATAGCTTTGTGAATCATGAAACATTTATAATGTCATGCATATGCATATAAATATCACATCATGCATAGGTATATGCGTACATAACATCATTAAGCCTCTAAGGGAATCTCATCATATCATCTCGGCCTCTGTGGGCGAAATCATCAACGTAGACCAACTGATCAGGTGGTGGTGCATATATAATGTTATAACCTTTCCCCATACCCTATATACATATATACGCGTATATAATGCCATCTGGTCATGGGTCAATATACATGTATAAATGAATGCAATGCATAATGAAGTAAGTCAATAAGATCTCTCAGAATGTCATGAGATCAATATGCCTTCGGTTAATATCATGAAATACACTTTATCAACTTACGTATTTTCTGAGACCCATGAAGAGACGATAGAATAATAGGACACATGGGGAATCAAGAACATAGGCACCCCTATTACTTCTAAAAATAGAATCATTTGTGAAAGTTGTGTGCTTGCTCGTTTGGTTGCATCATATAGATCATACCAAAAGGAAAGAAGGGATAGACTTAGCATGACTTAACTCCATTGAGTCCTTAATACCTTCCAAGAAAATTTTCAAACAACTCAACTCAATCTACCATAGCATAAAGAGATTCAAAATCAGTGTTGAGTAAAGGCTAAGTCCGCAACTTAAACTAGTTGCTCGTTTATGTGAATTTGGGCAGCATCTCCCATGTAACAAGAACCTCCTCCAATACTATATACCAACAACAATGACCAGAGCAATCCAGAAATATATAATTATCAATAAGAAAGACACCATATAACAACAACAAGTCACAACTACTTCACGACGAGTGGCAAGCTCTGATTGAAACATGTATACCCCATATCACCCCTTATAGACTTCTTAATTTAACTTAACAACATCATTAACATGATAATAAAATCATTCATCAATTATTCCAGCCTTATACCATATATATATATAACAAAGAAAACTATCCACAACTCCAACTATCCTCAGTTAGCTACTTTATTCACTAGTTCATGTCTAGCCCATCCATTTAACTTAATCAACATCAAGATAACCTTAAGCAAATGCAAGAACACAATATAATTACCTCCTACAGTGGATTCAAGTCAAAATACATGTTATATTTAGCTTATAATAGCCCAACACACCCCAATCACTTCATTCCCAAAACGACAACTATAGTAGTATCAAACACCCCGAAAATGTTACAAAGAACGACCAATTCGCTATTTTGCCATTATGCGGTGTTTCTCCACACCATTTATCCCCTAAAACGACATTAATAGTAGAAAAATAGACAACCCAAAAATAACACGAAACAACCCATAAAACAGTCCATTACAAGTCGAATAACTCGAACTCACGACTTTCGATCACCGTTCCATGAGTTATAACTATTAGGAAATGAATTTATCAACCTTATTTGACATTTAATATCTTAAATACATAAAGTAGGAATTTTATTAACTATTAAATACCTTCCAAAACTCAAACTACAAAGTAAAAGAGAGGTGATATAGCGATACGTCATAGGGATCGTTCTAATATTATCGCTTCTTGATTTCGTACTCGGGTTGTTAATATTCTTTGAAACCCTTATAGAGAGCTTAAGGGTACATTTATGGGTCTTATTTGGTCGCGGTATCTAGAAAAATTAAGAAAGATATGACATAAGGGATATAAATATCCTTTTATTTTTGAAAAGTCAAAAATGTGCTACTTGGCACTCTAGCATTGACCCTTCTTCCAACGCTTATATTGTTTTATCTGTATGTCGTATGAACGAACATTTAAAAGCGTTGGAAACTAAATAACAAGAACTTAAATTTTGTATATAATATGTCTCAAAAAGACTTCATATAACATATGAAAGGTATTGCTGAAAAAGCTTTAGTGACCCACCTAATTGTCACCTATGCAGTCTACTCAGTCTCGCGAAACTGTAAATATCTCTCCACTCCGATATCATATCGATGAACGGTTTAATGCGTTAGAAACTGGACTCGTAGATCTTAAATTTTATATGTGGATCATCCTATAATTCCAAGTATATTAGGAGAAAATCGCTGCTACATTTGACCTAATATTCAACACATTATGAATGTAACTTGTGATGACCTTTGCCAACTTTTGTTCCAAAACTCTTTTGACTTCAAAATGCAACATACGACTATTATACGAATAAAATAACTCATAACATAACATCATTATCATGTTAAAAGCCCTACTATCACCCCAAAAGTACATGTTATAACATTCCCAACTTGTCGACATTCGACAAAACTTATTTTCTTCAATTTGCTTAGTTCCTAAGCCTTTCAACCCTCTTGGTAGTTGTTATCCACGATCTTAAAGATTTGTAACCTCCAAGGTAACATGATTAACTTACTTTATGTACTTTCAAAGATGATCTCATTTCTGAGCTTACATCAATTAACTTATGATGTACTCTCACGTACAAAAATATGGGGTGTAACACTGCTAAGGCACTGACTTAGAAGTTTTTGCCATTGTAATATGGAAAATATAGATTTGAAAAAAATATGAAGATTTAAATATGGTATAAAGGTCTGAGTTGAAGGCTCAAAGAAGACGTATGAAGATGAAGTTGAAGATATGAAGGCTCAATGAACAATGTATGAAGATCTGGAGAAGTTAAAATCCGGTAGAATGTTCGATGGTAAATTCTAGAATTGAAAAGTGGAAGAAGTGAAAAAAGTTAGGCTTTTATAGGGGAAAAGTGTCACGACCCCGAATTCTCACGGGACCATGATGGCGCCTAACATTTTATAGGCAAGCCAATGTTAGAAAGAGTTATTAGCCATTTTTAACAATTCAAATTAAATGAAACCCAATAAGATGAAATAAATTGAAATAGAGTGAATAAGCTAAAATAACAGCGATATCGAGATACAATATCAAAACTGGTGTCACAAGTGCACGAGTGACTAGAGTATTACAAATAACAGTCTAAATAAAAGCATAACTATCTGCAATGAAATAAATTGCTAGAATAATGTAGAAGGGGACTTCAGGCTTGCGAACACCGTACAGTTGTATCTCAAGTCTCCGTCAAGCACCATATCCAAGCAATCTGCTGACCACCGATGTGACCGACTCTAAAATCTGCACAAGAAGTGCAGAGTGTAGTATGAGTACAACTGACCCCATGTACTCTGTAAGTGCCGAGCCTAACCTCGACGAAGTAGTGACGAGGCTAAGGAGGGTCACTTACAAGAACCTGCATGCTGTATAATAATAATAAAAAGGTAAGGAAAATAGGAAGAATAAGATAATTAACTTATGAAAAAGGGCGCAATCCTTGTATCAGAGAACCCAGAATAACCGATCTCATAATTTCATGTAACAACACCAAAAATCAACACAACAACAACAATGAATACAACACACACAATCCGTTGCGGCGCGCAATCCGATCCTACCGTACAATACGCAATCTTCCCTTATTGTACCATATCAATATCAAGAATCACATATAAAATATGTTGCGGCGCGCAACCCTATCCACAATATCATCATAATTAATATCATAATCCTCCCATATTTCACAATATCAAATCACATATAAAATCCTCCCTTATTCTACCATATCACAATCATTACGGCGTGCAACCCGATCCATAAACAAATTCAACAAATGTAATCAATTCAACAACTCAATTCACAAGAATCTCTACGATTAAAGAATATGAAAGCAAAGTAGTAAAGAAACCCCGTACTAAATCAAGAAATACTACAATTAATACGAAAGCAACAAGACAAGCCAAATATATGATAGTTAAAGTGTACAAGTAAGACAATTAAGGCAAGTAGAAATTAATCATAGAGTCATAGAAGGAACGAACATTTCAATACAAGAACAATTAATGACAAGTAACAAGTTATGGCATAGAAAGCAATTAAAGCATGTAACAGTTAAGGCATAGAATAAGAAAATTCATAAAATACAGGAAAGCATGGAAATAACTTTTTTGACGGCATATATATACCTGTCACCTCGCATATACACTGTTACACACACAATTCACATAACATATAGTTCAAGGGTTCCTAATTCCCTCAAATCAAAGTTAGACCCAATGCTTACCTCGCTTTGCAATCAAATCAAAGCGAAACCGGGGCCTTTCCTCTAAAATTCGCCTCCAAACCAATCGAATCTAACCAAAATCAACTTAATATCATCAAACAACGCTAGAGAAATCACTTACAATAGATAAAACAAAGATCTTTACCCTTTTCCCAAAAAGTCAACAAAAGTTAACCCCGGGCTCGCTTCGTGCAAAACCCGAGATTCGGACCAAAACCCAATTACCCATTCACCCCCATGCGTGATTATGTGATTAGGTTTGAAATCCGACCTCAATTTGAGGTCTAAATCTCAATTTTACAAAAATCCCAATTCTACCCAGATCCCTAATTTCTACCATGAAAACCCTAGATTTAATATTGAAAACATTTGGAATGTAATGAGTAATTGAAAAGGAATAGATTAAAGTCACTTACCAATGAATTTAGGAAGAACATCTCTTGGAAAAATTACCTCTTGGGTGTTTAGGGTTGAGAAAATGTGAGAAATGAGCTAAGTCCCGTTTTCTCATCTTTTTGTCGAGGCGCAGATATCGCAAATGCGACCTGGGGTTCACAAATGCAAACCCTGCAAATGCGAATAAGTCCTCGCAAAAGAGAACTCCCCACACCTCTGTTGGCATTGGAAATATGATACTTTGTTCGCAAATACGAACGTGGGACATTCCGCAAGTGCGACCACTTTGATCACAAATGCAAACCAGCTCCTCCAGAACGCCATCGCAAATTATAACAATTTTTTCGCAGATGCGAACCTGACATAGCTCATCCTACTATCGCAAATGCGAGAACTTAAGCATGTGCAAAAAACACCGGCAGACTCCTAACTCTATCAAACACTCCGCTATGCGTTCGAAACTCACCCAAGCCCCTCGAGCTCCAAACTGAACATGCACACAAGTTCAAAAACATCATACGAACTCGCTCGCACGATCAAAACACAAAATACCACCTAGAGCTATGGATCAAACATCAAAATGAATGATATTTTCAAAGAAACTCAAGAACATGCAAATTTACCACCGGACTTCCAAATCACGTCAAATCAACTTCGTTTTGCACCAAATTTTGAGTGTCAAATAGCAATACGGAACTATTCCAAATTTTAACATCAAAATCTGAACCTGTTAAACCTTGAAATTCTTGAACTTTCAAAAATGCTAGATTTCGGTAAAATGATTCAAAACAAGTTAGGGACTTCCGAATTAAATTTTGGGCATATGACTAAGTCCCAAATCACGATGCAGACCCACCGGGACCGTCAAAATACTGATCTGGGTCCGTTTATGCAAAATGTTGACCGTAGTCAACTCAAATCATTTTAAAGGTTAAAATTCGCATTTTTTTAAAATTTTCACATAAAAATTTTCTGAAATAAGACATAGACTACGCACGCAAATCGAGATACGTAAAATGGAGCTAATCAAAGTATCGGAGCATAGAAATGAAGGCAAAAACTATAAATGACCTATCGGGTCATCACATTCTCCACCTCTAAACAAACGTTCGTCTTCAAACGAACATAGAAAGGTACCTGGATTGGTGAAAAATTGTGAATATCTACTCCGCATGTCAAACTCGGACTCCCACGTGGTTGTATCGATCGGCTGACCTCTCCACTATACTTCAACTGAAGGATAACTCTTAGACCTCAACTTCCGGACTTGTCGGACTAGAATAGCCACCGGCTCCTCCCCATAAGTCAAATCCTTGTCCAACTAGACTGAACTGAAATCTAACATATGGGACGTATCACCGTGATACTTTCAGAGCATGCACTTATGGAACACCGGATGGACTACTGATAAACTTGGTGGCAATGCAAGCTTGTAGGCCACCTCACCCACTCACTCAAGAATCTCAAAAGGTGAGATATAACTAGGGCTCAACTTGCCCTTCTTTTCGAAACTCATCACACCCTTCATGGGGAAAACCCGAAGAAATACCCTCTTCCCAACCATGAATGCAACATCACGAACTCTACGGTCGGTGTAACTCTTCTACCTAGACTGAGCTGTGCGAAGTCGATCCTGAATCATTTTGACCTTTTCCAAGGCATACTGAACCAAATTGATACCCAACAACTGAGCTTTTCCCGGCTCAAACCAATCAACTGGCGAACGGCACCGCCTCCAGTACAATGCCTCATAGGGATCCGTATGAATACTCAACTTGTAGATGTTGTTGTAGGCAAACTCCGCAAGTGGCAAGAACTGATCCCAAGAACCCCCGAAATCCATAAAGGAAGTGCGAAGCATATCTTCCAATATCTGAATGGTGCGCTTAGACTGTCCATCCGTCTGGGGGTAAAATATTGTACTCAACTTAACCCGTGTTCCTAACTCACGATGTACGACCCTCCAGAAATGCAAAGTGAACTGCGTACCTCAATCATAAATGATAGACATGGGCACACCGTGAAGACGTACGATCTCGCGGTTATAGATCTCAGCCAACCGCTATGAAGAATGGTAATTGCCACTGGAATAAAATGTGCCGACTTGGTCAACTTATCCACAATGACCCATACCGCGTCAAACTTCTTCTAAGTCTGTGGGAGCCCAACAATAAAATCCATGGTAATATGCTCCCTAGGGGTTCTTATCGAGCAGATAATTACGCTTAACAGTTCGGCTTATCGGATTATAAATATAGTGATACGCTAACCATCCAATAAGATAACGGGCGGATTGGTATCAGATTAACGATTATCGGAAGGTTATCGGACGGTTTATTGGCTAAACCAAATAAATTTTTTATCATAGTATCTTGCTGCTCTAGCTTCACAACTCGGTCATATGTTTTTCTAATGTATATTCGAGGCATTTTATGTGCACATGACAATAAATCCCATAGTATATTATGTACATGTTGGATATGAGACTATCTCAATCACTGCACCCAAATGAAGCAGCAACCTTAATTATCACTTCTCATTGGCTATTTTTTTTTATCATAGCATCTTGCTGCACTTTCTCTGTTTTAATGTATATGTTGTTCTCATATCCAACATGTACATAGTATACTGTGGGATCTATTACTCTGGAACAAATTTTTTGAATACTCAATAAAGGTAAAAGTGTAAATATAAAAATTCTTAACGGGTTAACGATTTATCCGATAAAAAAATTGAGTAATCCGCCCCCAAACTGTTAAGCCGTTAATTATAAAATCTCAATCCGTTCGCCATCCATTATCCCGATAATCCGATACCAATAAGCTAATAAACCATCGATTCGGTTAACAGTTATGGTTTGATTTTGAACAACCCTAATGCTTCTACTTCCACTCGGGGATCTCTAGCCTCTGAAGCAAACCATCAGGCCTCTGATGCTCGTACTTTACTTGCTTACAATTCAGACACCAAGCCACATATGCAACTATATACTTCTTCATTCTCCTCTACCAATAATGCTGCCGCAAGTCTTGATACATCCTTGCGGCACGCAGATGAATGGAATACCGGGAACTATGGGCCTCCTCAAGAATCAACTCATGAAGCCCATCCACATTAGGCACACAAATCCGACCCTGCATCTTCAACACCCCATCATATCTAATATTAACCTGCTTTGCAGTACCGTGCCATACCATGTCCTTAAGAACAAGCAAATGGGGGTCATCATACTGACACTCTCTGATGTGTTCATATAAAGAAGACCGAGAGACCGTGCAAGCTAGAACATAACTGGGCTCTGAAATATCTAACCTCACGAATTGATTGGCCAAAGCCTGAACATCTAATACTAGCGGCCTCTCTCCAACTGGAATAAACGTCAGGTTACCCATACTCATAACCTTTCTACTCAAGGCATCGGCCACCACATTGACCTTCCCGGTATGATACAAAATGGTGATATCATAATCTTTCAACAGCTCTAACCACCTCCTTTTCCTCAAGTTGAGATCCTTTAGCTTGAACAAATACTGTAGACTCCAATGATCCGTGAATACCTCACACGACACGCGATAAAGATAGTGCCTCCAAATCTTTAGTGCAAGAACAATGGATGCTAACTCTAAGTCATGAACAAGATAATTCTTCTCATGAAACTTGAACTACCGTGACATGTATAGAATCACCTGCCATCCTGCATCAATATTGCATCGAGCCCAATACACAATGTGTCACAATACACCATGTAGGATCCTAAACCTGTGGGCAACACCAACACTGGCGCTATAGTCAAAGCAGTCTTGAGCTTCTGAAAGCTCAACTCACACTCATCCGACCACCTAAATGGAGCACCCCTTTTGGGTCAATCTAGTCAATGGGACTGCTATGTGTCACACCTCCTTTTTACCGAAGAGGATATGGGATAAGGGAATTTTTCCAAATTAAGTGACATTAATCGAAATGGGATTATTTATTTATCAGAGTCGCCACTTGGAATAATTTATGGTGTCCCAAGTCACCGGTTTATTTTAAATCCCAAATCGAGGAAGTTTGACTCTATTTATGGTCCGCGAATACAGAAGACCGGGTAAGGAATTCTGTTAACCCGGGAGAAGGTGTGAGGCACTCCCGAGTTCCGTGGTTTTAGCACGGTCGCTTAACTAGTAATAATTGGCCTAGTTATCTGATTTATACATATTTGAAACCTTTTGTGCATTACCGCTTTTATATCGCTTTTAATATTTATGAAATTTATTTCTGGAACAAGTCACGATGTCGTACACTTGTCGTTTTGATACACATTGCAAACCGCACCACATGAAATGCACCCGCGATTTACAACATGTTTACTTTTATTATTATTGTTTGAAGTTCTGATCGATTCACGTGAAACGCACACTCGAATTGGGATTTACGTATCGTGACCATGCCACGGGAACCGTACCCATGGTCACGATGATTTATTATTTGCGTCTAAAGCAAGCTACGATGTTCATGATTAATTACTACATTTGAGATTGTTTTGAGATCGTGATTTATGATAAAGTATTATTGTGGAAAGGTATATGAGTTCAACACATCCTTAATAAGTAAGTTAACAACAATTTTACCCTTATTAAATTGGACCAAACAAAAATAAACCATTAGGTCTATTACATCAAATTAAAACCTCACATGCCCAAATTAATTCTCAAACAAATCCTATGGCTTTCTCAAATATTTTCCGAACAACCTATGAATAATTAAGCTAAAACCCATAACTCAATTTGTTATAGCACAAACTAAAACACAACCTACTGCCATTAAATCTTTCACAAATGAGCAATAAAAATTCTAATCAAAATTGGAAGACTCAAAACATTATACATTCTGAACTAAAAAAAAAAGCAAGTAGAGATATTCTCACACATAATCCAAATCAATGAAAGAAAATAGCCGACATAAAGAAAGATGAAACGGTAACCATTATAACCTTTATAATTAACCAAATGAAAGCAGTACACCAATACGCATAAGACAAACATCAACCAAAATTAATAGATAACAAAGAAGAAAATTCGGAAAGAAAAAAAAAATACAGCGAAACATTATATGAATCAATATCCAAAAAGAAAAATAAAAAAAACTAAGAAACGAACCTTTTATTGAACAATTCTCTTCAATAATATTAGAAGTTCCACCGGAGCTTTAAAATTTCAGAAACGGCAAGTCGAACTGCGACAAGAACTCGAACCGACGACTAAGATCGGAAAAGCTCAAAAAACCCACAACAACTCTCGAGGTGTTGATAGCCCAGGAGATGCAGAGTGAACAGTAGGAGATAGAATTATTTTGAAATTCCCTTTCATTACTGTTTTTTTTTAATTTCCGATCTCAATCCTTTGTTGAAGCTTTTCTATGTATTTTTTAGCTAATTTCCTTTTTTTCGAAACTTCAAATAGCACTTTAAGAATTCTGAGCTTTTGAAAGTTTTGTTTCTAGCCTATATTGAGTGCCTTTTCGCGTGTGTGATGAGAGGAGGGTGTGGGAGTGAAAGAATGAGAGTGAGATAGGGGCGGCGCTAGGGTTCTCTGTCGAAGAGGGGTCTGTTCCGTCTATCTCTCTTTCTTTTTGTCTCTGTTTTTCCCCCTCCCCCTTCTCTCTATTTTCAGATCTATCTCCCTTTTGTGTGTTGGGTGAGTGAAAAATATATAGGTCTAGGTACAGAGATTAATTGGTGACATGGACATGTGCATTTTTTGAGAGAAAGTATGTGAGTTTGTTACAAAAGATAAGGAAGAATCTTGCCACATGGAAATGACTTATTGACACTTGTTTTAATTAATATATTTTTTTTAAGAGTGTAAAATAAAAATACTAGCTAAATATTTTAAAATCAAGAACATATAATTTTTGTGATTTTTAATTTTCTTAAATAAACCTACGAAAAATGAAGTTAAGGTTAAAATATGTAGATTAAACTTAAAATTATTTACATACTAAAAAGTGTTGAAAAATCACAAGTATGGTAAAAAATTAGGTGCTTACTCTATGGATGAAAATTCCTCCGGGAACTGGCGATAATAAACCGCCAAACCAAGGAAGCTCCGAATCTTTGTAGCTGAAGTAGGTCTAGGCCAGTTTTGAACTACCTCAATCTTCTTAGATCCACTTTGATGCTCTCTGCAGATACAACATGTCCCAAAAAGGCGATTGAGTCCAACTAAAACTCACACTTTGAAAACTTGGCATATATCTCTCAGAGTCCTAAGTACAATCCGAAGATGTTGCTCATGCTCCTCTCGATTTCAAGAGTAGATCAAGATATCATCAATGAATACGATCAATAAAGAATCCAAATAGGGCTTGTATACAGGGTTCATCAAACTCATAAATGCTGCTGGGGCACTTGTCAACCCAAATGACATCATTAGGAACTCATATTGCCCATACCGAGTCCGAAAAGCCATCTTAGGGACATCAAATGCCTAATCTTCAACTGATGGTATCCATACCTCAAATCGATCTTCGAAAATACCTTGGCACCCTGAAGCTGATCAAGTAAGTCATCAATCCTCGGCAACGAATAGTTGGTCTTGATAGTGACTTTTTTCAACTGTTGATAGTCTATACATATCCTCATCGATCCATTTTTATTCTTCACGAACAATACGGGCTTACCCCAGGGTGAGACACTAGGTCTAATGAATTCTTTATCAAGTAAATCTTACAACTGCTCCTTCAATTCCTTCAACTCCGGCGGGGCCATACGGTATGGTGGAATAGAAATGGACTGAGTGCCTGGAGCTAAATTAATACAGAAGTCAATATCTCTGTCGGGTGGCATCCCCGACAGATCTACAGGAAACACCTCTAGAAACTCACGTACAACAGGTACTGAATCTATGGAAGGAACCTCCGCACTAGAATCCCGAATATAGGCCAAATAAGTTAGACACCCCTTCTCGACCATACGTTGAGCCTTGACATAAGAAATAACCATGCTGGTAGAATGACCAAGAGTCCATCTCCACTCTAATAGAGGTAACCTCGGCAAGGCTAAAGTCACTGTCTTGGCATGACAATACAATATAACATGATACGGTGACAACTAATCCATGCCCAAAATAATATTAAAGTCTACCATATCAAGAAGTAGGAGATCTACACGAGTCTCAAGACTCACAATAATAATCGCACACGAACGATATACATGATCTATATTAATAGAATCTCCCACAGGTGTGAACACATACACAAACGTACTCAAAGAATCATGAGGCACAACCAGATATGAAGCAAAATAGGATGACACGTAGGAATAAGTAGAGCCCAGACTAAATAGAACTGAAGCATCTCTATCGCAAACTAGAACAATACCCGTGATAACGACGTCAAATGACTCTGACTTAGGTCTAGTCGGGAAAGCATAAAATTGAGGCTGGCCCCCACCACTATGACCTACGTCTCTGGGATGGTCTCTAGCTGGCTGAACTCCACCTCTAATGGCCTGACCTCCACCTATAATAGCCAGACCTCCACCTCTGGCTGCCTGCCCCCTTTCTTTAGCTGGCTGAGTAGGCGGTGGAGCATTTGGTACCAGGATCATGGCACGAGAACTCTGTTGTGGCATGCCGCTCAACAATCTCACACAGAACCTCCTGATGTGACTAGTACCTCCATACTCAAAACACCTATCCTGGTGTTGTGGCTGCTGAAGCTAACCCAAACAGGCTGGATAACCACGGGCATAGATCTGGATCAGAGGCGCACTAATTGGAGCTGATGGTGCACTGTAAGCTGTTTGCCCCAGATGAGATACATAAAGACCACGACTCCTTAAAGCACTGTGAGATACTTGAAGCGCTGACTGAAATGGCTTGGGAGGATGGCCTCTACCAAAAGTACCCCTACCTCCAGATGAGGCGCCACTGAAACTACCGGAATGACTATGACTCTTAGCAGACACCGGCCCCCTCTTCTGACCACGAACCATCTCGATCTGTCTAGCAATATCTATGGCCCTCTGGAAAGTAATATCATCTCCAGTCTCATTGGCCATATGTAGCATGATAGTGAAAGTGAGCCCATCAATAAATCTCCTCACTCTCTCCCTTTTAGTGGGGAGAAAGATAATGGCGTGGCGAGCTGGGTCCATAAATCGAGTCTCATACTGGGTAACAATCATACTACCATGTTGAAGACTCTCAAACTGCAAGTGGGAATCCCCTCTCAGAGTGACATGGATGAACTTCTCTAGAAATAGCTATGAAAACTGATCATAGGTAGGTGCAGGCGAACCAGGTGGTCTAGTCAATACATAATCTCTCCACCATCTCTTTGCAGAACCAGTCAGCTGAAACACTGCAAAGTCGACCCCATTGGTCTCAACAATACCCATATTGCGCAACGCCTCGTGACAACGATCCAGGTAATCCTATGGGTCCTCAGAATATGCACCGCTGAAATGAACAGGAAAGAGCTTGGTAAACTTATCCAACCTCAAGAAGGCCTCAGAAGTAGGGGTGGGTTTAAAATCTGAAAAATTAAAAAATTGTACCGTACCAAATTAATTCGGTACAGAATTTTCAAAAGTTCGATACTTCGGTACGATCCTCGGTATTAGGATATTGGTATTTCGGTATTTCAGTTTAACCGAAATACCAATTTCTTTTACTAAATGTTATATAGCATATGTCAAATACAATGTGTAGTCTAGTTTTAATTAAGCAATGGTACCGGCCAGGTGCCCTAATCTTGAGAGATGTGCCAGTATTTATATGCCCCACTTCTTTTATTTCTGTGTCATCCGTTTTCTTAGCGCTAGAGTAATATGCTATTAAGCTTAATTTGCATGTTATCGTCAGGAGAATTATAATCTGATTTGGTTGAACAAGCCATAGTTCTGAAAAGGCATGCACTTTGTAGGATTCCAACACTTGTCATGGAAAATCGGCATTAGCCAAAGCTCATAACCATTGTGTGTACAATTTTGAGCTCACAACAGAAGTGCAGAAATTACGGTCCACTATTAGACTTTGTTGCTTGCATCTTTACTGATTCTATGGCATGAAAGTGCCTCTGGAATCTATTAATAGAACATTTGTTTCTCAAAGAAGGAAAACTAGATAAGCCAGAGTTGAAATTAAAAAAAAAGTTAAGCAATAGGGAATATGTTCCTACCTAAGAAATTATCGTGCTTTTCCATCCAACTCTTTTTTGTTTTTACCCTTTCGTTTCATATATTTTCTCTATTAAAATTTGGTCTATTTTATATTTTATTGTTCAATGGATGTAATGGCCAAATACTTCTCTTTCAAAATTTTCAATAATCTTGGCTGCCTCAGTCTTATATGCAAATAAGGCAGCTACAAGAAATGCTCTAGTAAAGCTGTACATCACTCTTTAATGCATGATTGCTGTTGCATTTCTTATTATCTTATAGACCTTTATCATGCAAATTTGTTATGCAAATTGATAAATCGAAACAGTACCGAAATCGTACCGAACCAAACAAGAAATATCGAACTACATTGGTACGGTATTTGCTATACACAATTGATAAATCGAATATTGAAATACCGAACCATAATTCCTAAATACCGAACCAAAATACAGAACGCCCACCCCTACTCAGAAGACATAGCGGGTCTATTACCGGCCTGTGCCGTGACGACCGGCTGAACCACCCCAACTGACGGGGCTACTGGAGTCTGATATAAGGGAGCCACCTGATTAGGGGTATGAGTAGCGGGAGTGTGTGCTCCTCCCCTATCCTGAGTGATAGCCGGTGCCACCGGGAATGCATCAGTCTGGGCCACATTTCCCATAAGGCCCACCAAGCGGACTAGAACGTCCAGAAGTACTAGAGTTGATATGAACCCCTCCGGGATCTGAGCTGGTCTGGCGGGTACGGTTTGAGTTGGAACCTCCTCCTCATGATCAATTTGAGGCTCCACTACGGGTGATGTTGCTCGAGCTCTAGGCTGAGCTCTGCCTCTGCCTCAGCCTCTAGCTTGACCTCGGCCTCGCTCTCTTCCCCTGGTAGTAGCTGCCATTGGGGGATCCGGCTTCTGTCCGGCTACAGATGTTGTGCGTGCTCTCGCCATCTGCAAGAGAACAAGAATAAAATGGTTCAATCATCAATGATAGAATAAAATTGCACGATAGAGAAGGAAAGAAGTGAATTTTTTCCTAAATTCTATAGCCTTTGGAAGATAAGTATAGACGTCTCCGTACCGATTCTCCAGACTCTACTAAGGTTTCTCGTGACTTGTGAGACCTAGGCAATCTAGTACTCTGATACCAACTTGTCATGACCCGGAATTCCCACCCTCGGGACCGTAATTGTGGCTAATATTTTACTTGTTAGGCAAGCCAACGTTAGATAGAGTTATTAGCCATTTTTAACAATTCAAATTAAATGAAGCCCAATAAGCTGAAATAAAGAATTAGCAAAAATAATGACGATATCTAGATAAATTCCCAGAACTGGTATCACAAGTGCACGAGCGACTAGAGTACTACAAATAATAGACTGAATGAAAGCATAGCTATCTGAAATGAAATAAATAGCTAGAGTAATGTAAAGGGGGACTTCAGGGCTGCGAACACCGTGTAGTTGCATCACAAGTCTCCGTCAAGTACCGGATCCG